ATGCTATGCTTTGCTATGACAATGCCATTCGAGCTCAGCTGAGTGCCTCTCCTCAAGGTTGCGGCGTCTGCTGCGGCGAGCCGTCAACAGACGCCCCAACCATTCTCCAAAACGTTCGAGAAAGGGGCCATTGTTTTAACGCGGCGACACAGCGCGATTTGCGCCCACAGCGCATGCGATTCGATTGCGGCGAGCCGTCTAAAGGTGAAAATGCGAGCGCCGCTCACTCGGTCGGCGTCAGATCAACCTCCGTGGGAGAACCAATCTCCGTGGGAGAACTGTGATCTGGCGGCTGGCTGCGGGGCGTCATGTGCGCATCCTGCTGCAGGACCGTCGGCTCCTGCGCGGGATGTCACGAGCCCCCCCCCACCTTTGTTCGGGCTGAGGGTTCGAGAGGGCCTCCAGTGGCTCGAAGATCCCCCGACGGCATCGGCTTGGAAGCATATTCAGGCATCTTCATCCCTGGATGTTGCAGGGGGCAACCGTCGTCGTCGTCGTCGTCGCCCTCGATCTTACAGTCGCCACCCTCGCCGTCTCAAGTGGTCGGCTCGCCGCCTCTCGCACTTCCGCCGCCCCGGGGGGGCTCATGAGGGGGCGAGGGTGCCTCGCGGGGCGGGGGGATGGGAGCCTGAAGAGGGGGCCTCATCAGGGGGCGCCTGGGGGCCTCATGGGGGGACGACCTAGGGGGCCTCGCGAGGCCCCGTCGCCCCCTCATGGGGCTCCCACCCCCCCGCCCCGCGGGGCGGGGGGATTTGTTTCGCTTGAGTCCTCTGCGCACGGTTATGCTTGCTGATCGGCTGCTTGCTCTCCCAGCGCTCTCAGCACCGCGTCCGCGATGTCCTTGCCAGCTCCTGCAGGATCTGCTTGGGCTGCGCCGCCAGTTGAAGGTGAAGCCGCGGTAGGTTGCTGTCTTCTTTGGGCTTCAATGGCAGCGACCTGTGCGCGCACCCACCCAATGGGTCTCGGCGGCGGAGGTTTCTCACGCGTCGAAGCCCAGGGTCGGGTGTTGAGAGGGTTGCTGTCGTCCATGGTTGGAGACGCTCTCCAATGTGCCATCAGCTGCTCCCACTTCGCGCACTCCAAGTTCGTCTGGTGAATCATCTCCCTCTGCCTGATGTGCTGGGAGTTCTGATGATGGAGCTGCTGCGCCTGATGCGCTGCTGCAGGGTCCGTCGCTGCTGCTGTTGCTGCTGCTGTGAAGTATTGCTCATGCTGCTGCTGCTGCTGCGGCTGCCCCTGCTGCTGCTGCGGCCCAGCTGGCCGCCAAGGCACTGGTGTTGCCCAGATGCTGCTGCGGCCCAGCTGTTCCTGCTGCTGCTGCGGCCCAGCTGTTTCTGCTGCTGCTGCTGCGGCCAAGCTGGTCGGCTGTTCCTGCTGCTGCTGCGGCCCAGCTGGCCGCCAAGGCACTGGTGTTGCCCAGATGCTGCTGCGGCCCAGCTGTTCCTGCTGCTGCTGCGGCCCAGCTGTTTCCGCTGCTGCTGCTGCGGCCCAGCTGGTCGGCTGTTCCTGCTGCTGCTGCGGCCCAGCTGTTCCTGCTGATTGCTGGGGGGCGTGCCACTGCGCTCCGTGCCAGTCGTCTGTTTGCCAATCTTGCCACTCGGCAGACCACGCATGCGGCAACTCTGTGTCTTGCCACTCTGCACGTTGTTGCTCGCGCGGCTGCTCCTGGGATTCGCGCCGGCTGCCCGGGCGTCTGCCCCCGTCAAGGCCGTTCGCCTCAATCAGCTCTTTGGCGAGATTGTATGCTCGCGATTGCATGCTCTGTGGCCCCTTCAACGTGAAGAGTCTGCCACGCCCGTCGTGTCGGTCTCTAGTTGTTGCCGTGCACCCAGTTTCCTCCTTTATTCTGATTCTGTCCTGGCTGGTCAGAGTCCCGCCAGACATCGGAAACTGAATATGGAAGCCAACATCGACAGCTTCGTGGGGTGGCAGGGTCACTGGGGAAGAAGCCACGCTTGACCAAAAACGACTATCGGAGGAGCCGTCATGCCCCCCACCCCCCAACCCCCTCCTTCCCTCACACCCCCTGCCCCACCCATCGTTCGCAACCCCAGCCCGTCCTTCTACTCCCATCCATCTTCTCTCCGACAGTCCCAACCTTCTCCCCGCTCAAAGTGGGGGCGCGGATTTCCATGCCCATGCGCAACTGTCAGAGAGAAGGGGCATTTGCGAGGAGGAGGATGAAGGAGAATAAGACGAGGCAGAGGGGGTCGGAGTGGCGAGCCATCACCAACACGAACAACACATGCTGAGTACGATAAGGGCGACGAGGGGTGGCGAGCCAACCCCCAATCGCAGTGGCAAGGATGCATGCCGAGGGAGTTGACGATGATGATCATGAGGATGTGGATGGCAGATGGTGTTGATGTGATGTTTGGTTTTGCTTCGGCACCTGGATCAAACCCTTCGAAAACGCTCATGCGATGTTCAAGCCTGGGAGTTGCGGCGCAATCGGCTTGACCCCGTCGCGGTATCTAGCGACGGGGATGGCCCGCACCACCTGGCGCGTCGCACTGCAGAATTTCTCGGTGGCACTCGGGGTCCAGAGGCCGCCCGGGCCCGATAATAGTGGCACCCACATAACACAATGCAAATATCGGTTCGATAACGTCGGGCGCCCACAAACGAAATTAGAAATTTGCCCCAGCCGATGTCCGAGAGTTGTTGAAACCAGTATATGCATGTTCTGGCGCAGTTCCCCAATTTCAGTCACCATCTTAGTTGATGATTGGACCGATCCCAAACTGTCAGTGATGCCGTGCGCCTGCTGTATCAACAGCGCAGAATGGTTATCGTGAGCCACCTGGCCTGCTAACCATTCAGGCCTACGTCCACCATCGAAGCGCGAAAGGATGTCCAACACTTGTCGTTTCTTAGCTTGGTATTCCCAATGTTCGCCATACGTGTGTCGCCCGATGACCTTCGCATACTTGTGTTTGCGTTCGGTGGAAAAGCAAGACAGGACGTCGCCGACGTCATCGATATTGCGGGGAATATGGTGTCCATAGTGCAGCTTCGGCTTCACATACGATACACCATACAGATCTTTGATGAGTTTATGGTGCTCAGTCAAGGTAGCCTCCATGTCTCTAGTGTTACTGATAGCGCACGCGGGGGTCGATAGCATATCCAATATTTTGGAAATCAGGCGCAAGCAACGCACCTCCTCCAGCAGCGTCCCGCTCGGAACTAACACCAGCTCGGAGAATTTCACCAGCGCGTGAACGGCGAAGATAGTCTCGCCTGCCCATGCTTTCAGACACTCCCCATTGCGCTGATCGCGACCATGAAAAAATCCTTCGGCAGCGATCCATTCGGCCACAAAATCGATTGCTGGAATACGTCCAACGAGCCCAAGTCTATGCAATGCGGCTCCGATAGGAGCTTCACGCAGAAAGCGTTGACCTCAAGTTGGCACACTCCTCCTGATGCCACCAAACAGTGCATCCAATCCCAGTAGGTGTGTTTCACTGGGTTTAGCCATTTCCTGAGAAGGGGGTCATACAACATCGAATCCTCGTTGAAATTCACACCGCGAACTTTCTCTTTCTCAGCGAATCGGCCCAGGGCCAGCAGCGGCTTCGCTCTCTTGAGTTCATCGACCATGTGTTCGAATGAACCTGGCGTGTGCAAAACGAAATATGATGGGACAGCGTCCTGGAGATGCTCGCCATATTCAGATCCTTCTATTTTATACCTCGGCGTCCGAACCGCGCTCCTGCAGCTGATGCAAGCCTTGAATCCGCTTGCACCTTTAACCGACCAAAAGTGTTTGCGCGCCTCCTCATCTTGCACCACGCAAGAGAATCTCCCTTTGTATTATGCGCGCCCACCGCGGCTGTTGGGGAGCAAGATCCCCGTCTCAAGGTTGCAAGTTTTTTGGTTGAAGAAAGTGCGTTTCAGAAGTTGTTTCGCGAGGCCACTGAGTCCAGCCGACACTTTCTCCTGGTGTTCAAAAGGGAAGAAACACAGTGCCCACCAACCCTCGTCGCGACATCTCACCCACCTCGGGAGCTCTCTGATGGCCCAGTCCGCGGCCTTGGAATCAAGGCGGCCGTGGGTTCGCAGCGTGTGAGTTGGTGATGCTTCTCTGTGGTGTTTTTGAGTTTCCTCCGGGGGGCGGGGCATCGTCGTCGGGTTTCGCAGCGGCGCGTAAATAGACAGCTTGAAGCTCTTTCGCCTGGTCGGGATTGAGCGGGCTGGCAGCTTGCAGCTTGTCAGTGTACAAAACTATTGAACTTGTTCCGTTGCAGCATCTCTCAAGCATATCTGAAAACAGAATGCCCCCTGAACCTCCATTTGCGTTGCCGCACAAACAATAAAGCAACGCCAACGGGTTGCAGCATAACGTTGGGTAGCGCTCTCCTTCGGCAAGGTCAATATCGATAACGGGCAAAAGTTGGCCGAATGGCGCGTGCACGTTCAGCTCTTGATTCAATGCTCTGCGCATGTCCTGTTCGGAGCCATCCACTCCACATTATCTGGCTATTTGTTGCAATTTGTTCAATGACAAGGTAGGCGCAACTTGCGAAAGCATGAGCCTGCGTTTCTTCGAAGAATCGTCGACAACCATGTTTGGGCAACGGCGTGCTGAAATCGCGGCGAGTACGGCATCGGCGGCGGTGGCGAGCCAAAGGTGTGCGTGAAAACCAGCAGTGGCGAGCCAACCGCTTGAGCGAAACGATGCGGAAGAAGTGGAGGTGGGGTTCCTGCCTGTGCGCCCCTCACTCGGACCGTACCCTCGCAGGATCTTTGCCGATGTATAGCTTGCAAAAAACGGTGCCGATTTTTTAATGTCATTTTGATTTTCGATTTGACTTAGCTTTCACTTAGCTTTCACTTAGCTTTGACTTATATGTGACTTATATATTGAATATATATCAGATTTGCATCAGTTATCAAACTGGCATTAAATCGTTTGTGTTTCAATTCAAGATAAGTCGATTGCATTTGAATGTAAGCCAATGTATAAGTAGCTAAGTCGAACCGCTCAGCGAAGCATGCTCCAGCAGGGGCCTCTTGGCGAGGCAGCCGCGGGGGTTCTCGTCACCAGCTTCGACGGCTACCTCCGGCCGTCCAGCGCGCCGAGGATCTCTGGCGCCGACGTGCACTTCGCCGCGGCCGCGGTGGGCAGGGGATACCCTCGCGTGACGGTCGCCATCGCCCCGCTCCACGCCGGCGACGGGGGCGAGCCGCGCCCGCGGCTCAAGAACAACGATCACGACATGACGCCGGTCTTCGGGGACCAGGCGAGCCTCAAGGCGGGCCGCAGCTTCGTCGCAGAGCTCCTCGTCAGGCTGCAGTCGCAGCGGCCGCCCCACCAGCCGCTCTTCCCGTTGAAACTGCCCGAGTACGAAAGGCATTTCAACGGCGCTGTCGACGCCCTCCACCTGAGCCGCCTGGACATCACGCCCCAGCGCGCCCGCCACGGAGGCCCGTCGGTCGATGCAGCCAGAGGCCTCCGCAGCATCGCTGAGATTCAGAAGCGCGGGACGTGGCGGGCCGCGTCCTCGGTCAGGCGCTACGAGATGGCAGGCGCTCTGATGCGGCAGCTCGAGAAGGTGCCGCGGCCTCTGCTGCAGTCCTTCCCAGCGAAGCTGGTGCAGCTCAAGGCCGCTCTGCTTCGCTGATTTGTTCTGCCTCAATATTTTTCAGCTCCCGCCCTCCCCCCCTACAGTCCATCATATGGGATGTGGGTGGGGCCATCAGTCAGATTGTTATAAGGTCAGGCTTGTTTCGAGCTTCCTTTACTGTGCAGCTCTGCCGGCAGAGAGAGTCTCCTGTTGTCTGATGTCCTGTCTGCTCGCCTGTACGCTCGCAGAATCGACCTTGCCTCTGTTAAGCCTTGGAGCGAAAACGATGCCAATCTTTCGTTTTTAGTTCTGGTGAGCGGTGTCGTCTGCACCATCGGGATGGGCCACGATTTGTCTCTGACCTTGTTTGGCCCCCTGCAGTGTAGCCCACCGCCCGCAGCAAGGCTTGCCCTTTCCGCTGCCTTTTAGCGGCTCACCCACCCTACTGCATGTAGGGCCATCGGTCAGATTGTTCTAAGGTCAGGCTTGTTTCGAGTTCCCTTTAGTGTGCAGCTCTGTTGGCAGAGAGAGTCTCTTGTTGTCTGATGTCCAGTCTGCCCGCCTGTACGCTCTGCCGGCAGCAAGAGGTTTCTGTTATCAGATGTCCAGTCTGCTCGCCTGTACGCTCGCAGAATCGACCCTGCCTCTGGTAAGCCTTGGAGCGAAAACGATGCCAATATTTCGTCTTTAGTTCCTGGTGAGCGGTGTCGTCTGCACCATCGGGATGGGTCATATTAGTACCGTCTGTGAGCAGGGGCATGTGGACGATATCCTATCCGTCCTTTCCCCCCCCATCCTGTTCATGTTCCTGCTCTTTCTTTTCCCCTTCCTCAACCTCCTCATCATCCTTTTACCCCCATGTTGGCTCAAGTCATTGTGGCTTGAGTCGGCGGCCTTCTCAGACCAGGCTCAGGGGCTTCCAGGGCGGCGTCTCAAAAACTGGCAGGACCAAAGCGTCGGCGCCACCCAAACCTGGTCATACGATGTGTGTGCCGCCCCCCCCAGAAGGGGGGACGCGCGCGCCGAGAAATCTCACAGTTTACGATCGGTGGCGAGCGAGTTCTGGCCATACTGCTTTGGAAACGACATGCTACAAGATGTGTGCACTAGCTTTTATTTTCGGGGCGGACGCGCGCCTCCCACGGAGGCACATCGTACTAGTACGTCCATCGGTCGGGGCCGCGCCTACATGGTAGCCCTAGGACAGCTGGTCTATACAATCGGTTTGGGTGTCACAGCTACAGCCGCAGCTAGGACAGCAGGGCGTCCTAGCTGTGGCTTGCGAGGAGAATCCCTCAACGTCAGCGCCCTATGCATGACCGCGCTCGCACCAGATGTGCAGGTCGGACCACGCCCCAACGCGGGCAGGCAGCTTCCGGAGGTCTGCCCCGCCCACCGGCGGAGGAGAGGCCGACTGCGCCCCCGCCCGCCCGCCGGGGGGCGAAAGTTGCTTGAGCGCAGCTAGGGCCGCCGTTGGCCGTAAGCCGCCAGCAGGGCGTGGGCCCGCGGCAAGCTCGTGTGGCGATGGCGCGCCGGCGACGCCGGCGATGGCGTACAATCGACCACTCGTAGGAGTGACCCTTCGCCGGAGTGACCTCTGGTGCGGGCACGCGTGGGTCCCAAGATGATTGCACAAGGTTGAACCATCGACGCGGTGTCAAAAACTTTTGCGCGCACCGACGCCGCACTAACCTACCGTATCATCTTGTCGGCCCTTGTCAATCGACACTCAACGACGCTAGTCAACACTAAATCGACGCTAATCGACGCTAGGTCGGCGCTATCTCATCGATTTCTAGACGCTAATCGACGCCAGCGCACTCGAAATAGGGAACTGCGAGGGCATGCCAGGATCCCATGAGCGTGCGACCAGGAATGACAAGAGGCCCTCCAGTTGGAGGCTCGTTCGGAACTGGCATCATCACCAAAGCTGGGGGCGCGTCCAGGTCTACGATGGGGCCGCGGGTTTCCGCATGATCTCACATGAAGCAGGAGTGGACCTAAACGGTGTTTGGGCGAGTTCGCGGGCCGTTGTCGTTTCGATGTCGTTCTGCAGCGAAGGCGAATTGAAGACAAAAAACGGAACATCGAAAACAAAACGGAAACGAAAAACACTGTTTAGGTCCAGCCCTGACATGAGGACCGCCCCACCTCTCCGCATCCTGGAGACTACGCGCCACCACCGCTCACCGACGGAGGCACCAGCCTGGAATGGTTCGTTGATGCGCTTCCTGACCCATCTGACCTTGCTGCTGCTCCCTCTATTCCTCCCTCCATCGGGCTCTGGGGGCACCTCTTTATGGACGGCTCATGCCGTCGTCATGTAGTGCGTGAGCTCTCCTGGGCTGGCTGGGCCGTTGTCATGGTTTCGAGTTCGGGCGTGCGCCTCGGGGTCTTGAAAGGTCCTTTGTGGGCTCCGTGGCCTCAGACCCCCCTGGGATCCGAGTTTGGGGCCCTGGCCTGGACCGCTGTGCAAACCGAGGGCCCCGCTATGTGCTATTCTGACTGCGCTAATGTTGTGTATTTAATGAATCTAGGTGCTGCTGACGGTATTAGTGCCAAGCGACAGTATGTTGGTCAGATCATTCAGGCCAGGGATTACTTCGGCCCCAACCTTATCTCGCTGACCAAGGTTGAGGCCCACAAAGATGTTGATGAGGAGGGGCTCTCTGCGCATGAGATTTTCTTGCGAAGAGGGAACTTCTACGCTGACGTATATGCCAAGGAGGGTGCGAGGCAGCACCCTGAGATGGCTCCTACAGAGCAGGAGGCTCTTGACCATCAGATCAAGGTTTCGAGGGCGATCTTGCTGGCGGGAGTGGAGCTCTTGCCACTTTGGCCGAAGCTGGAGTTTCAAGGTCTGCCGCGGTTCCCTCCGACGCCTGGCCCTGTGGCTCCCGTTTTAGAGCTCGTCCACGACTGGTCCCAACAAGGTTCCTCCTGGCGGTGTCGTGTGTGTCTTCGTGGATCCCGCTCGAAGTCCATGCCTCTGGGAGGGCCGTGCCCTGGGCATTCCCGTTTGGACCAGGGACTGTTGGAGAGACTGGGCCACCGAGTCATTGCCTTCCCTTGCAGTGACGGTGGCCACCTGTTCTTGTGCATGTCGTGCAAGTTTTATTCTAGCGGTGAAAAGGTCCTGGGTTTGTCCCGTAAGTGCGGGCCCCCGACGGAGTCTGGTTTCAGAAACTTGAGACGGCTCCGTAAAGGACAGCACCCTGATAAGAAGGGTGTCACTGTCGACATAGACGAATTCATCCCGCTATTTTAAATTACAGGTAATTCTCTTGCCTTCAGTGCGCCTCTGGCTGTCTGTGCAAGAACACTTCACCTTCAGGGGCATGAATGTTGCATCCAAAAAGAGCACTACAGAGCCAAGCAGTACTGCAGGTTCGAGAACATCAGAGTCTACCAGAAGAGAAGGGGCAGCCTGCCCCTCGGCGTGGGATACACAGCGCGAGGCGCCGAAGGGTGCATCCCCGTCGCCCTCGCGTGGCATGCGAGGGGCCGAGGCCAGCTGGCCCTAGTCGGCACGATGAGGAGAGAGCAGCCGCCAGTGCTGGCCTGCTGGAGCCCACGAGTGGCTCGGCGAGCCTCCACAGCGCGCTGCGCCGAAGGGTGGAGGTCGCCACTGCGGGGGGCAGCCAGCCCCCCGAAGCCGCCCCCACGGCGGCTGGGCTCAGCGCGCCGCGCCGAAGGGAGCCCAGCCGCCACCGTGCTGCCGCCGGCCCACGAAGAGGCCGTCGGCCTGGCCGTGCGCCGTGCCGCGCTGCCTGACGCCCGCGGGCGCGGGCGCGCGCGGCGCCCGCCCATGGGCCCTGACGGGCCCCCTTTTTTTCTGAAACCCGGCCCCCTCCTCCCTCTCCTGAGGTTTATATTTGGTCCATGGTCCTCCCTGCTCTCCTCGGGGTCGGGTTCCCGGGGCCGCTGTTCGAGTGCCCGCGCGGCCCTAGTGGGCCGTTGCGGCGCGTTCCGCGCCCGCGGGGCGCGCGACAAGACGCTGTGTAGCGAGAAACGTCAGAAACGCCAGGGGGAGAAGGGGGAGGAGGAGGAGGTAGGGGAGGAGGAGAAGCAGGAAGAGAAGCAGGAGGAGGAGGAGGAGGAGGAGGAGGAGGAGGAGGAGGCGGAGGCGGAGGCGGAGGGGGAGGATGAGGAGGAGGGCCCCGCCTTCGAGGATCGAAGTAGTTGGCATCTCTTCCTGGGCGGAAGGCGGCTCCAGCCGGCAGCGGCCTCCGGCCAGCGGAGGCCGGCAGAAGTTAAAGGCGCGTCTCCAAGAGATGGCATCATTTTTGGCTTCAGTGCTTCCGCAAACGACCAGCTGGAGGCTGGGAGAATGGCCCCCACACCAAAACAGGGGGTGCGTCCACTGGTGGAGAACGATACTAGATTTTGTTGTTGGTGGTAGTCTTTCGGCCACCAAGGGACCTCGATTACTACCATTACTCCCACCATCACCGAGATCGATATCACTTTCCCTCGGTGGAGGCACAGCGCTGAGATTGGTTTTGGTGCCAACCTCTAGGCCTCCGACCGAGGCTTCCCAGAAGGGGACCCTCAGAGGGTCCCACGATTCCGTGCGGTCTGGTAGAGTTCGTCTGGATTCCGTTGGGCTTGGACGACGTCTGGGCGAAATTCGGACGAAATCTGGACGCAAGGGTGAAGAGGGGTGGTCAACCTCTGGACGAAGTCTGGTCGAAGTCACGTTTGTGATGGGGCCGCGGGTCCCCGCAAGAGGCTCCCATGAGGACCGCCCCCCTCGCGCCACCTCTCCGCTGGCGCACCGCCCACACGCCAGCCGGATCCCCCCGCCCGCAGAGGGCCGGGCCCCAGCAGGGTCGCGCTCGCTGGCGGGCGGGGGAGGTCTCCGCGCTCGCCGTGAAGCAAGCGGATCCCGAGGGAAACGGGTCCTGTGATGTTTTGCAGTCTTCGGCTTCCCGTCAACAAAAAGATGCTGCATCGAGACCAAAAAACATGAGGCCAGGACCTGGTATAAAACGACGCGAAGATCGGGACAAAATCGGATCGGGATAACTCGAAATCTCTGAGAATCGGCGGGTTTGGAGGATGTATTGGGCGCCGCGGCCGCTCCAGAGCGTTCCGGAACGCTCTGGAGCGATTTATCCCGATCCTAGCCCTGTTTTATGGTACCCTCAGGACCCGTTTCCTTCATGCTCGCGGGCGGGTGTCCCCGCGCGCGGGCCTGGTGGCGTCTGGTAATGGATGGGGGAGCGCTGATTCAGCGTCGCGCCGATTAGCGTCGATTTGCGTCGGTCAGCGCCGATTCGCAAGAGCCAGCAAGCTTCCATGGGAGGCTCCCATCGGTTGCCACCGAAGGGGGGGGTGGGCGCACACGGGCCTTTTGGCGCGCAGCTTGTGCCGCTGCTGGTGGGCGCTCGCCGATGCTCTCGGCCCACGGGGGCCGTCACCGGGGCCGGGGGCATCAACGAGCTGCTTGGGGGAAGGGCCGGGATGTCGGGGGACACCGGATGTCTGGGTGGGTAGCTAGGCCAGGCTCCCGCCCACGGGGTCCCGCAGACAGTTGGGAAGGGGGGGCCGCCTACAGGGGGTGGGGCGGAGGTGTGTGGCCTTCCAAGGATCGGCCACGCGGAGAGGGGGGGACGTGGAGGGGGGAAGGCTTTTTAGAAGGAGGCTAACGGCGCGGGACCTGTAAATGTACGGCCCGCGCCTTCTAAGAAGCAGCCTTCTTGAAGTTTTCCCCCCTCCCACTGCGCCCCCTGTGCGCACCGCCAATCATTGGAAGGCGGGAGAGCTTCTCACGGCCCCCCTGCCATAACACCTACCTCTCCTTTCGCCCCACCCCTATCAACGCGGCGCCAGCCTGGGGTCGCATCAGGTTTTCTTCGTTGACCGGGATCCGGCGCCAGATTGTGATTGTTGTTTGTTTTTCGAGGTTCGCCTTCCATTGCTTTCCCTGTCCACAGCTTCCCCTCTCGTCTCCTTCTGTCCCTTTCCCCCCCCCCTTCCATCCAGAGCCGAACTGGCTCAAGCCTTGCTCAAGGAAGGCGTTATCTTGCCATTAGTTGCCGGCCCAGTGTTGCACGTAGATCGAGCAACACGCGGACATGGCTAACGCGGCGCAGCAGATCGCCGAGCTCAAGACATTACGAAAGGAGTACAAGGCCGAAGGCGTGTTTGAGTTCTTGGGGCCCAAGCCTGCCGATGCCACAGACGAAAGTCCCACCCGGTTCAAGATAAGACGCGAGGCCCCTGTACCTATGACGGTGGTCGTTTCGATGCCAGTGGGGTACCCAGCTGACGCACCTCCACTGTTCAAAGTTGAGGGAGTGGAGGGATCGTTGGAGGCGGTCTACGTAGAGGCGATCGAGGAGCTCTTGATCACGCAGGCCTCTTACATGCGCGGCATGGAGTGCATCTCCACTGTCCTCCAGTCCCTGGATGACCTTGAGTTGGATAGCCTGGACATTGGCGAGCCGGGCCGCTGTCGCTCGATCTTCAAGATCGATGTCGTGAACAACTCCCCGCAGTTCACGAAGTCCCTGAAGCAGGTCGGACACGCTTGTTGCATGCGCCGCGCCAGAATTGGTGGCTCTCTGCATGGCGCCCTGCAGTACCAGCCCCTATGGTGGTACTATAGAGTGCCTCGCAGGGCGCTCTGACTCTGGCCCAGGAGTACGCAGGAAGCGCTTGCTGCAGGCTGCAAACGGGAGGCCATGCTTGTGGTTCTTCCGCACGATCCAGTGCCAAAACAATGCAAAGTTTAGTTTTGCGGTCGATCCATTGCGCTCCGTCTACTCACGAGGCTTACGCCGTTCCGCCGACCCCCAGAAGAGGGAAGAAGGCTACGGGTGAGGCCTTTGGGGGCCTCTTGCGAGCCCCCTGGGGACTTTTGGGGGGCATCTTCCTTGTGGTTCCACCGCTCGATCTAGTGCCAGAACAATGCGAAGTTTGGTTCTGCCGTTGATTAGCTTCGGTTAGCGTAGGTGAGCGTCGATTTGTCGTCGATGAGCGTCGGTTCGCGTCGTATCGCAAGAGCCGACAAGATGGTATGGGAGGCTTACCCGAGGAGGAGGAGGAAGAGGAGGAGGAGGAGGAGGAGCAGGAGGAGAAGGAGGAGGAGGAGGAGAAGGAGGTTGCCACCGAACCCTCCGCTCCACTCCTTTTTCCCCTGCTTCTCCCCCGCCTCCTCGGGGCCCTTTGGGCACTCTGAGCACTCTTCCCACAGGCGCTGAAGTGAGGACCGCTTTGGGGCTCAGGAGGGGCGGGCCGGACGGGATTGGGAAAGGGGGGAAGTCTGCTGCATGCAGCTGGTTTCGGCCCCACCGAGGGGCCCATTCCTCGATACATGGGCGCCTCCCGGCGCCGGGAGGCGCCGGGAAAATCAGCTACGCGAGCTGATTCTCAAACCCCCCCTTTGCTATCCCCCCCTTTCGCCCGACCCGACACTGGTTTGACGAAAAATCGGCACCTGCGGCGGGCCTGGAATGTGCAGATACGTCGGCGCCCGTGGCGGGCTTCTTCAGCACCTCGCAGACCGCCGAGGACCCCGCCGCCTCCCGGCGCCGGGAGGCGCCGGGAAAATCAGCTGCGTGATCTGATTCTCAAACCCCCCCTTTGCGACCGCCCCCCTTTCGCCAGGCCCGAGAGGAGCTCGGGTCGTCGGGCCGCTCCCTAGAAGGTTCGTGTCGTGGGACCTGTTCGTGGCCCAGGCCCGCCGTGGCCAGAGAAGCCCTTTCGCTCCTTACCGTGCGCCAGGGCTGGACCTAAACAGTGTTTTTGAGATTTCGTGGGCCGTTTTCGTTTCGACCTCGTTTTGCGGTACAGGCGGAGTGAAGACAAAACGAGGGAAAACGAGAACAAAACGAGGACGAAAACACCGTTTAGGTTCAGCCCTGCCGTGCGCTCCTCACGGAAGCACGGTGGCTGTGGGGTTCTCTTCGCTCTTTGGTCCTCCCGCCCCGACCCCCGCGGGTCTCCATTGGGAAGATCTCGGGCACCTTCCCGTGGCTTTCTGCGTGCGCTAACGCTCACGCCGACCGCCGCCGCTCAGGGGGAGCCCAGGCCGCAGGGGAGACCGGCACGTGGCGACCTCCCGGCGAGTGAGTATTCGGGGGCAATGGGTTCGACGCGCACGTGGCCACACACTTGAGCCCTCGTCGTAGCCGTCTTGAGGCTGTGCCCGGAGCCCCCTTGGGCTTTCATGGGGCACTCCTGGGACCATTTGTGCGTCCGGGGGTCGTTCTGGAGGGTGTTTCGGGGAACCCCAAACAGCGATTTCTTGCAATCTACGTAGTGCAGTCTAGGTGGTGCAGTAACTGTGGCGCAATCTAGGCGGTGTAATCCATGTTGTGCAATCGATGTGGCGCAGAGCAATGAAAAGCGATGCAAAACAATTCAAACCAATGCAAACCAATGCAAAGCAATGCAACACACTGCGAAACAGCGCAAAGCAAAACAAGGCAATGCAAAGCAATCCAAGACAATGCAAGATAATGCAAAGCAGCGCAGAGCAATGCAACACAATGGAAGGCACTGCAAACCAATGCAAACCAATGCAACGCATTGCCAAGACATGCAACGTACTTCGATAGCAATGCATAGCAATGCAAACACAACGCAATGCAAAGCAACGCAATGCGACTGCAATGCGATTGGAATGCAACACAACGCAACGCAGTTCTCAAAGCAACGCGATGCAATGCAACACAATGCAAACCGATGCATAACAATGCAACGCAGTTCAAGGAAGTGCAAAGCGATGCGATAAGATGCCACGCAATGCGATTGCACCAGGGGGGGGTGCGCAACGGGGCGGTGGCGGCGATGCGGCAACGGGGCGGCAACGGCGACCACAAGGCGGCGGACTCGACATCGGAGCCCGGACGCCGGCCGGCGCCGAGGTGACGACGGGGCGGCAACGGCGGCCCCTCGGCGTCGGATCCGACAACGAGGCCCAGACGACGTGCGGCGACAGAGCGGCGACGGGGCGGCGACGGCGACCAGAACCTGGGCCCGACAGTGAGCAGAGTTGCGGCGGAGCAGAGTCGTGGCGGGACCATCGGAGCTTCGTGGTCGCCTTCCGCTCCTCCCTCCCCCCCCAAAAGAAAGCTGGACCCGACAGCGTTGCCCAGCTCCTCGGAAACAAGTGAGAGATGCTGCGTGCAAGCACTGTTGGGGGGATGAACGTTCGGAGGTCCGCGCGGACTTCCCAGATTGGCGCCGGAAGCCCCCTGGCGCGCTCCGCGCGTCAGGGAGGGGGGTCCAGTGTTCGAGCCTTTTGGAGAAGGGCCTTGGGACGCCCCGAGGAGGTCGGTGGTAAGGCGTGCTGGGGGGCAGGGGTCCTGCAGAGGCAGGGCGGGGTACTGATACCTGGTTCACGCTCTTGTATTCATGTTGTATTGGCGAGGTGTCTTGGACACTGCAGCGTAAGCTTCACGGCCTCACGACCCCACAGGGGGGCCCACGGATTGCATGTGCGACGCGCCAGACAAGAAATCCGCCGTGGAGTTCATGAAGGCAATACGTACAGATGGCGATATGGATTGTGACATGTTGGGTAAGCCATGCAGAATACAAATGACTGTGGTCGAGGAATTCGAGATGGCACCAAAAGCAGCAGCCATTCCCGATGGTTTCAGCAGCACCGAGTACAGAACCGATGAGGATTTGGATGCGTTAATGAACCCCTACATGGCAGCAGCTGCGGGTCTCGTCGCCAAGAAGTGATATATCTAGCCGCCGCTATAGCGCCAGCAGGGTCATGCAACCTGCTGCCAAGTAGGAAAAATCTGAATGGCTAATCCGAGGCCTCCTCTTCCTCCGCCGTCTTCATTTTTCTACTGGATCAAACGAGCAGTCTTCATCAGTGTCACTCTCATCCTCCCTCTCGGTCTGCGTCTCAACCTCTCCCTGTGGTCTTCGGTCGGTAATCCAATTATTTTGTGTGTCCTGTCCGAAGTAGGTCGTTCGCCTCCAGGAGGGTCAGATCGATCGTGTGGAGGGTGAGGGCAAGCCCGCAGCGCGGGCAGGTGCGTGTGGCAGCATCTTGAGCAGGCGGGAAATCATCTGCTTGCAGTTGCTCAGGGTCCCGCCTGATTTGCTCATCACGCGGTCTCCCATCGCCACGCTAGATCTGATTCACAGACGAGACACACTGGAGGCTGGGCACATCGGAGTCTTGCGGGGGGGGAATGGACCCCAAGCGGGAAATCGTTGCCGGTGCACGTCACGACATGTCGCCTCCCCCCCGCTGGGATGTGCTTCTCCCCCGCTGGTTCTTCCAACGGTGGTCCCGACGGTGGCCTCGACGGTTGTCCCCGCGGTGGTCCCGGTAGGTGTCCCGATGGGTGTTTTGTGGGTGTCCCGTGGTGGTCTTGTGGTTGTTCCGCGGTTTTGTCCTGTGGTTGTCCCACCGTGGTTGTCCCAAAGTTGGTGCCTCGCCGTGGTTGTCTCATGGTGGATGGGTATGTGGTGGACCGTGAGGCCAGTGAACGATGTGATGAATAGTAGGATCGAGAGACACTGAGGTCTATAGGTAGGGGTGCCGATGGCACGATACTTAATTCGAGCTGTGTGCATACGTTCGTATACATATAGGAACAATGTCGAACATGATAGCCGCATCGGTAGATACATGGTAACAGACCCGTACACACATACATACATATATATATATATACATATATAATTAGATATACACAGTGTGACAGCGACAGACATGTTGCTTGTACATGTGTAATGGAAGCAGTAGATCTGTTGGTAGTGATAAGATGGGAAGATACTCGTACCGAATAGCGCATACACACAAACGTTTGGTTGCATGGTGGTCTGGCCTCGATAGCTGAACAGGAATACGGATCGCCAAATCGAGGTACCGGTTACACATGCGTATATAGATATCTATATGTGCAGATCGATACGACCAGCCTTCGGGTGATAAGGAGGTTGTGTGGTGGGGGGGACCAACGTCTCACCCAATCGATCTCACGATCGATCCCGCTAGCGATGCCATTATCAATGCCATCTGCGATCTCACTCGTGATCTTATCATTGAGCGGCTTAGCTATGCATCGATGTTGGTATCTATAGGCCTGTACATACAAATTACGATCGAACGATCTCATAGGGATCTCACTGTCGGCCTTACTATCGATGGATCGATCAATGCCGCTCTCTATCAATGTATCGACCTATTGATCCACCCCCGACTTCTCTTGCTCTCGATCTCACGATCGATCTCACTATTGATCTCGTGCTCGATCCCACTGCAAGGCACCAGAGCATCATGGGACACCACTACCGATATCACTATCGATCTAGGTGGCGTTTGTTTGTTGGGTCCTTCTTTTCTTGTTTGAGGACTTGCTAGCAAAGTGCCAGGTAATATGTTTGGCCGTCTATCTATCGATCTCACTCCCAATCTACCTATGAATCTCTTTATCGATGTCATCACCGATCTCCCTTTATCTGTCGATCTCATGACCTGTCGATCTCACAATCGGCCACACTATCGACGCCACTATCGACTGGTCCATTGATCTCATCATCGATTTCACCATCGACCTCACCATCGATCTCGGGATCGGCCTCACAGGACACCACGGGACACCGCGCCGCGGTACACCACGGGACACCGGCGGGTCACTCCCGGGCCACCGCTTGCCAAGCGGGGGGTTAGAGTCATTAGATTCAGTTCCGCCCTCGCAAGGGTGGGACACCCCCGGGCCACCGCCGGCCAATTGGGGGGGGTAGAGTCATTGGAGTCAGTTTCACCCTAGCAAGGGCGGCTTCATTCTTATTGCCCGCCCACGCAGTTGCTCCTCCTCCACGGAGCCGAGTTCCCTGCGGGGTATCTCTGTTCCGCATCGGAGTCACCCCCCAACCTCTGATGCAGTATTGTAGCAGCAGTATGGGTGCCAAGTATTGCTTGTCTGCCCTTCAGTCGGCCGAAGAGAGTCGGCCAATCGATAGCAGGTAGAGCAGGAGGAGGAGGAGGAAGAGAACCCAGCCAGAGATCCGTTCTCACGATGGCACCGCACGTGCATGTTTGTCGTGCTCCTTGCAATCACGTTCCCTCCCCTCCTTCCTACGGCCTCTCCTTTCCTATCCGCTCGCCTCTCCTTACCTTTTTTACCTTTCTCTTCTGGCGCGGCACTGGGAAACACTGCGTTACTAGCTATCAGGGTATATGCGTTTGTTTGTGTTCAGGCTACCTTCCATTACATGACCATGATGTTGTGACACGGAGGTTGCATTACGATAGTGCGTTTTGGGTTGTTCAGTGTGCATTTCGGTTGCAATCATGCGTGCGTTGTGATGCTCAGTTCGATTGCAAGTGGATGTGCAAGTAGATGTGCAGCTCGACGTGCATGCCAACTGCATGTCTTTGGTCAATTCGAATTGCATACGTAGGGTTTGCAATCGGATATACCTTCCGATTTGGAATTCACCACGAGACATTTCACGGGACAGTCCACAGGACAACCCACAGGGCGACCCATGGGACAATCCACAGGACAGCCATGTGACAACATCCGGGACAACGGGACAACAGCGGGGCAACCCATGGGACACACCCCCACCGCAAGACGGGGACAGAGATTGTTTGTATGACATGGCCCGCGCCTCGGGGCAATCAGCGAGGCAACCCCCAGAGCACTCCACGACAAGACCCGCAAGACACATCCGGGGACAGTCACAGAGCAGCCCTGTGGGACAACCCACCGAACACACACGGGAGAACCCACAGAACAACCCGTGGGACAACCTTTGGGCAAACCACAGGACAGCCCACGGGGCAACCCACGAGACAACCCACGAAATTACCACGTAACAACCCATTGGACAATTCATAGAACAACCGCTGGACAATCTACGGGACGACCAACGAGTCACAGACAACCCGCGGCGACAACCATGGGACACCACACGTGGGAATCACGCAAAACATACGGGACAACCACAGACCACTCTGCGGAAAATGAATTTGGTGTCGTTTTCGGTTCTCTCTCACACCAGAAGAGTGCCCTGATCAAATTCATCGTTGGCTAGTGTTCTCGTATTCTTCCTCGTTCACTCGAAGACGGCATTCGCGTTATTTCGGCGCTTCTGTGAAGTTGCTTGTGTGCGTCGCTGTTCGCTCTGGGGGAACGGTCAGGGGTATCATTATTCTGGTGAGTCTTTATAAATCCCCGTTGAATTACGCGCACGCAGTTTTTCCACGCGTCAGGGGCACATATTAACTAAAGCGTGGGTGGGTTATGTTATCGGGCGCGCGGCCAGGACAAAGATTCACAGAAGCCTGCCCCCTTCTCGGAGGGGAATTGGGAATGTGACGAATGGAGCAACGAAAAGAGAACGAAGTCTGGTGCAGCGCCATCCTTCCGCGGATGGGCTGGCATTCCCCAGAGTATACGAACCCAGAGAGACGTGAGAGTGTGCATAACCGCTTGCCTTGCCGCCAGACTGCGTTCTTGAGGCAGCTGCCTCGCGACAGGTATGCGCAGAATCCGTGGGTGCACGAAAGCCCGCATTGCCAGCAGCCGGCGTCCAAGAAAGGACGGCAGTGAAACCCAGATAGACGTGAGAGTGTGCAGAACCGCTGGTTTTGTCGCCAGACCGCACCCTTGAGGCAATTGCCTCGCGACAGGGGCAAGCGCGCATAAGCTGCGGATGCACGAGTGCCAGGAATGCCGCATGACGGAAACGAGCGCGTGCCTGTGTTTTGGAGGCATTGGAGGCATGCGCTTCTTGACGGGAATGAGCGCGCAGAATATGTGGTGACACGAACTCTGCCATGACCGCCAGCTGGCGTGCAAAATGTAGACGAACCACGGTATCCAGGGGAACGTGAGATTGTGCAGGACCCCCAGCTTTGCCGCCAGGATGCGTCCTTGAGGCAATCGCCTCTTGACCGGGGCAAGCGCGCAGAATTTGTGGATGCTGCACGGATTCACGCAAGCCGGCATACCCCTTGGTCAGCGTCCTAAGGGAGACGAGGCGTAGTAGCTGGAGAGACATGAGAGTGAGCAGGACCGCTTGCCTTGCTGCATGGCTGTATCCTTGAGGCAACTGCCTCGCGACGGGGGCTCGCGCGCAGAATCTGCGCACACACGAGAGCTAGCACCATCTCCAGCCAGCGCACAAAATGATACGACACATGGTAACCGGAGAGGCGTAAAAGTGCTCAGGACCACCGGCCTTGCCGCTGGGCTGCGTCCTTGGGGCCAGTGCCTCGCGACGGATGCACGAAAGTTGACATTGCCGCCAGCCGGCCACCAAAAGGAGACGAATAATGGTAATTGGAAAGACATGCAAGCGCGCATAAGATAGGGATGCACGAAGGCCAGGAACGCCACGTGGCAGCATCAGAAAGGAGACGAGCCGCGGTGACCAGAGCGACGCGAACATGTGCAGAACCGCCGGTCTTGCCGCTGGTCTGCATCCTTGAGGCTTTTGCCTCGCGAATGGGGCAAGCGTGCAGAATCAGTGCATGCACGAGAGTTAGAACTGCCACCAGCCAGCGTACGAAAGAATACGAACCATGGTGACCAGATAGAATCGAGAGCGCCAATTTCAGGAGGAAATGAAACACACAGACACAATTAATCCTCGATTTCCCAGAGAATATGGGAAAATATGGGAAGTGGGCGGGAAGACAGAAACCCAGAAAATATGGGAAAATATGGGGGATTATTTTATTTGTGTGTATTTATTTGTGTGTCATTGGGCCCCTTTACAATTCCCGCTTGCCTTGCCGTCGGATCGCGTACTTGAGGCCACTGCTTCGCGACGGGGGCCAGCGCGCAGGGTCGACGGATGCAGGAGAAGGAGGAGGAGGAGCCCGAGGAGGAGCACTCCGCGGGTGGAGACCGCTTCCCCCCCCCCTTCGGGTGCTCTCCCCGCCCTCCCTCCTTCCCCCCCGTCGCCCCCCTTCTCCTCGTCCTTCACCTCTTCCCCCTCCACCTGCTCCTCCCCCACATCGCCCGTCCTCTTCCTCCCCTCCTCCTCCTCCTCCTCCTCCTCCTCCTCTCAGGTTCCTCCGCCCTCCTCCACCTCCTCCTCCTCTTCCTCGTCCTCCCCCTTCACCTCCTCTCGGGTTCCTCCGCCCTCCTCCTCCGCCCGCGCGCCCTGCCCCCCCTTCCCCTTCCCCGCAACCTCCTTCCCCCCTCACCTCTCCCCCCCTCCTCCACCTCTCCCCCCCCATACCGCCCGAAATCGGGGAATCGTCGTTTTCCATACTCGGCATTTTCGGCCGCATTCGGGTCACGGGGTCTTCGTGGATAGATCCGAATCAGGAGAGGCAGTAGCAAGTCTGGGTAGGGGGTGCCTTTGCCGCGATCTTCGACGTTTTTGCATTCTTTCAACAGCGGGTCATTTATTTTTCCTCGCTCGCTCCTCCCCCTCCCCTCGTCCTCTTCTTCCTTCCTCACTTGTTGAAGGTAAACGAGGCGAAGGCAGAGGGATGAGGGCCAGTGTGGGCGGGGGGAGGGGGAGGAAGGAGGAAAGGAACATTTGGTCCGCCGTGGTAGACGGACGATGGTGCGATTGCCCCCGTGCCATAGGCCGAAAGTCATTCGAAGCTCAGTCCTGGGCGCGGCAAAGCCTGTCCAATTGCCAGTGGCCGCCGCCATCCTTCGAGAAAGCACAACCTACCCCAACCCCCAGCCAGGACCCTTACTCTCGACCTGGTGGTCTAGGGGGTCCTTACAGTCAACCATGATAGTAAGGATGGAGCAACTTTCCAAGGCTATCCTTGCATCCTTGCCCCTAGTGTATTCGGCATCCTTAGGCATTCTGCTGCCCTTCGCACGGAAAACGTCAACATGGCGTTCCAAGGCCATTGCATCCTTACCGCGCATCCTTACTATCCTGGTCGAGTGTAATTGGGATGGGCATGGTTTTCTGAAGCAACCCTCCCTCACGATCTGCTCATCTGTCTGGCGCAATTCGCCTGTCATTGTCGTCCTTCCATAGCCGGCCAGGCCGACATGACCACGGTCGGCGGCCAGGTGCCGAGTGAGTGGCGACGGAGTGAGCGCAACCGTTCGCAGCCGTGCGTCTTGCTTTCATTGGTCTGCTCCGTTCCTTCATACCCCCGCCTTGCCCTCGCTATGTGCCCCGCACTCTCGGGCTGTCTTCCATGAGAATATGCATGGATACGCCGCCGGTTGAAGGAAAATGCGCTTTAGTCCGCAACCGCGACGGCCCAAGCAGTGGTCGTCGCCCAGGTAGCCCCCGTTGCACTGGTGGCGTGGGACTCTGCCCGGAATTGGACGCATCCAGAGACAATGAGCACCATTCCTTTCTCTCGCCACAGTAAGCGGGAACATAGATGAACCTCCAGATTCGGGCGTCGCAAGAAGAATCGCGCCGGTCGTTTTTTGGACGTTTCCAGCCTCCGGATGCCACTTCCCGGCTTCAGAAGGCGTCATCGGGACGAAAAGCCAGCCTCTCGGGCCAGAAAGCGTTCCCGCTTGCAGGGGCCCGAACCTCCCCACGCATCCAGCGCGCCGATGTTTTCCAGGCATGAGCGCCCGGGCCTCTCGGCCACTCCAGTCTTCAACCCGACCCGCTTGTTGACGATCCTGGGGGCCAGAAGCTGGCTTCCAGAAGCAAGGCAGAGCGACGAGCCCGCGCCGCTCCGATGTTGTTCGGTACGCCAGATGTTTGGGCTCCCGCGCCCCGTCTTCGATTTGTTTCCCATGACGAGCTGGCAACTAGCACCAGTACTTACGCGACTCCTAGATTTCACGGGGCGGGATCCCGTGGCGGGCTATGGGCTGTGGGTGTGTTTGAGTGTATCTGTGCGTGTGTGTGTGTGTGTGTGTTGTCGGGGGGTGTCCCCGGTCGAAAGGGAACCCGTCCTCACAGCCATAGCGCCTTCAACCCATTGCCTTTTCCCCATCATGGGCGAAACCCATTTCCGAACCCCCAGCATGGGCCAGGCCCTCGGGCCGCGACCCCGCGGTCACAGGGCGTGTCTTCGCGGATGCCACGCGCGGAACGCATCCGTGCGACCGCGTATCCGTGGGGTCGCGCCCCGGAATCCAGACGAAGGCACAGATACGGACATGCTCGCCGCTCATGACCCCATCCCGCCTGCCTGCCGTCTTGTATGAGATGTCCTATCGGCATTCCCCTCCTTTTGGATACATCTCCTGGGAGGTCAAATTCTTGTTTTGCCCTGGTCCGAAGTCCGGCTTAATCCAGCTTAATCCCGGTCAATCCGGCTTAATCCCTTTTAATCCCGTTTAATCCCGCTTAATCCGGTTTCATCTTGCTTAGTCCGAGATCCGCAGAGGGGGAGGGGAGGAGGAGGATTCGCTCATCCCGCCGGCCCGTATTGTGCCATCGCAGGGTGCGCTCGTGGCCTCTTGGGGGCCGTCTGGGGGCCTCTCGGGGTCTCTTTTTGGGCCTCTCGGGGGCCTCGTGTGGCCTCCAGTGGGCCTCCCAGGCTCTCTTGGAGGCCTCCTGGAGGCCTCTTGGGGCGGAAGGTTCGAATTGGTGTTTCGTATTCCCCTCTTGGGCCCCTCTTGGGGCTGGCTTGGGGCCCTCTTGGGCGATCTTGTCGCCTCTGGGGCTGTTTTGGGGCCCTCTTGGACCATCTTGGGGCCTTCTCGGGGGGCCTCTCGGGCCGTCTTGGGTCTGTATTGGGGGCATCTTGGGCCATCTTGGAGCGTCGGAAGCCCGAAAACGCGAGAACGCGGAACTCAAAGAAAAGTACCATGGTAATCAATGAGTTATGATTATGTTGGCCTTCATTGGGGTCCTCTTGGAGCGCTCTGGGGACGTCTCTGAGGCCTCAGGAGCCGTCTTGGGGCCATCTTGGACGTCTTGGAGCGCTCTTTGGCCGTGATTCCGATTCGTGGGCCTTTCTGGAGTTGCCTTGAGGTTCCTTGGGCCGCTCCTGGGGCGATCCGGAGGACCCCGGAAACCGCCCCCGAAAATTCTGGCATCCTTGAGCGGTCTTTGTCGGGAGTCGGTCAGGGTTTTTTCGTTTCAGGACTCCCAGGGGCCCCCCCGCTCGCGCAAATTAGAATCTACATATACTCTGTGAACCAGTTTCCAGAGATCTTAGCATGCCTCTGGCCCATTGGGCCAGTGAATTTGACGGCGGTGCCGCCTCAAAATGCTTCGGATGCGAACACTGGATGCGGTGATCGTTCGATCTGCTGGCGACACTGACTTTGAAGAGCCACTAAGCGTCCTCAGTGCACTCGGCAAGGGGCTGAAACAATTGTCGCTCTCCGTCCAAAACCTATTGGGAAGGCCCCGCGGTCGGTGCCGCCGACCCTGATGGGTGACGACGACGACGTTGTCGCTCTGGAGTCTTCTTGGGGCTATCTTAGAGACCTATTGAGCTCTGTTGTGGGGGCTCTTGGTGGACTTCTTGGGAGTCTCCGTGGCCACTTGGAGCCGCCTCGGAGCAGATGTGAGGGCTCCTGGATGCGTGTGGGAAAATACGCAGCACCCCGCAAGAGCAGATACGAGTGAGGAGCGTCTCAAGAATGGAAAAAGATTTACCCTCGCCGACAAGGTCGGCGGATTTTCGCATTATTTGAACTGTCGGCGTCAAAAACAATTGCCAAATGGAGCAAGCTAAGCGAAATGAAAGAACAATGGAGTACGTAAGGGAAGTGTCTCTTGCGAGTTGAGACTGCCCAGGCATCTGGCACATCCAGAAGGAGGAGGCGGGGGCGTCCCACGAATAGCAAGAAACCCATCCTAGGATGCAGGGCATATAAAAAGGACCCCATACTCCCTGGATGCAGGGAACAAGAGCCCCATCAGTATCAGATGGGGCAAAACAAAAGGCGGCCTTCAGTCGCGTTCAGCCTCCAGGGGCCCTCGCTGGGCTTCGGGGGCCGTCAAGAGACAACTCGGGGTGAACAGCTGGCCTCGGGGAAAGGATCGGAACCTCCCCGGACCCCACATTGAAAAGTCAAAAACCAAGGCATTCGGAGGTTTGGGTCCGTCTCCTCCTGTCCGCTGATGGTGCCCACGTCGTCCTGGAGGCGGCTTCGACTTTTGTGGCGTGTCCACTCACTTTGTCCTCCACGTCCTCCTTCATCCATCCAGTCCTCCTCTTCCGCCCTCTGGAATCTTCTCCCGCTCCCGTCCCGCTCTGCTTCCGCCCTCCTGGAAGGCGGCCCAGGGCGAGACGGCACAATGTTGAATGGCTGAGGTGGGCGCTCAAGACGATCCTCCAGGGGCCAGGGCACACTCGAGTGCGGTGGCACGTGCAGGTCTTTGCGGTAAAAGTTTCGTTCATGTTCGAAGTGTCATGCAATATTCGTATCGTTCAGTGGGTCTTTTTTTCGAAGCTCATGATAACATGCATAATGCACTCCTCTGCTCTTTTGTTGGGGGCTACTGAAGGCCTCTGAAGGATGCTGAAGCGCGACTGAAGGCCGCTAGTAATACACTAAAGGCCGCGGAAGGCGAGCAAAATATACAACACCGAGGCGGTACGTGTCGTAAAGAGCTTCCAAGAAGACTCCCCTACGATCCTGCATGGATCGTCGATCTCGTCTTCCAGGGGTGGGGGGGGGGAGCGGGGAGGAGGCGAGGAGAGCGGCCGCCGTGCGAGCGGCCCTAGCCCGAGCACACTCTCCGCCCGGCGGCCCCGACCCAGAAAGGGGAGAGAGAGAGAGAGATTGACGGGCCAATGTTCCATCACCGCTGCCACAGGCAGGACGGGGGAGAAGGGAGCATGGGGAGGTCCTCCTCCTCCCCCCCCTCCTCACAGAAGCCGAAAGAGAAGGAAAAGGTCGCCACCCCGAAGGCGATCCAGGACCACAAGCAGTTCCTGGCCTCTGAGGTGGCGGCGGCCCCCGATCCGCCCCAGACCTCACCATGTGAGAAGAGAAACTGCTAAACAACTCCTTCTCCCTCTCCTGCCCAGGGCAGTGGTGGCGGAACCTCGGCCCATCAGAGATGGCACCGGCCCGCTCGCGGCGCCGCCCGGCCTGATCTTTGCCCAGGTGGCGCCGCCGGCCGTACATCGACGAGGGGAAAACTCCACATGCGCGCGGAGATCCTGGACCCTCGCGCTGGACGGGGCCCCAAACGCCGCTGTCCGCCAGAGGGGGTGGTCTCTCAGGAGCGAAAGAAGGACGTACACGTACATGAATCCACGCTGGTTTCGAGAGCACCCACTGCACAAATGTTCGTATAACGCGGCCGGTCTCGCGAATCGAGGGGCCGTGTTCATGTACATAGCTGGGCGCGTACGTCCTTTGTGGGCTCCCTAGTCTCCAGCCTCGAGTGATGGGCTTGTTTTCCACCACCACCATCATATGGATGGGGAGAGGAGGAGGAGGAGGAGGAGGAGGAGGAGGAGGAGGAGGAGGAGGAGGAGGAGAGGAGGAGGAGGAGGATAAGGAGGAGGAGGACAAGGAGAGCGAGGAGGAGGAGGAGGAGGAGGAGGAGGAGGAGGAGGACCCCCTCCCCCCCTCCAACTTATGGTGGTGGTGGTGGGAAACAGGCCCAGCCTCGAGCCCGCTGCAGGCCGCCCTCGGCCTCGACCCCGCCCTCGGCCGCCTCGAGCCGCCCTGGGCTCCCCGCTCGCACCCCAGAGAGTGCCTGCCACGGGCGGCGACCGGATCCGTGTCCACTCAGGAGGAGAAAAAACACACAGACACAATTAATCGTCGACTCCCAGGAAAATATCGGAAAATATGGGAAGTGGGGGGGAAGACAAAAACCAAAACAATATGGGAAAATATGGGGAATTCTTTTATTTGTGTGTATTTATTTGTGTGTCCCAGGGCCCCTTCATCCACGCCCTCGCGGTCTGGACTCCGCGGGGCGATTCTGCGGCTGCGCGGTCGCACACTCCCCACCCACCAAACCACCCCAACCCAACCCGAAGGCTCAGATTTACCCTCGATTTCTAGTTGGGGGGGGTCCGGGAACATCGAAAAAACACATGTGGAACCCTTACCCCCCCCAACCCGAAATTCGGGTCTTCGGGTTGGGTTGGGGTGGTCTGGTAGGTAGTCATGCGCTCCGCGCGGGGCATCCGCGAGAAGACACCCCGGATCCGCAGGGTCGCGGCCCAGGGGCCCGGCCCGCGAGGCCGTGCCTATACGGACATGCCTTCTCGCCCGCGAGTTGACCTTCAGATCTGACGCTGCAGAAAACATGCAGCATCGCAAAAGAAAACTAATAATAATAATATTAATATAAAAATAATCTATATATATATATATATATTAAAAAAAAACCTCCAGAGCCCCGGACCCCATCTTCCCGTGTTTTTTTGAGCCGCATCGATCTGTGAGGGTCCCGCGGCCCGAAGCCGAGCGAGAACGCCCCGTGAAAAAAAGAGTGCGACGCCAGGAACGCGGGAACTCGAGGGAATTGTGGCTGGACCGTTTCCCCTTCGTCTGGTACGCATGGGCGCCGCGCCGGCACGCTGCGCGCAGGCGCCGGGCCGCCGCCGCCCCTGGCGGGCGAGGGCGCTGGCGGCGTGCCTCGCCTGCGCCTCCCGCGCCGGGCGGGCGCTGCACCTCGAGGCGCCCGCCGCGCCCGCGCTGGGCACCGCGAGGCTGCGCCCAGACGGCGCCTACGCGCTCGCGCCGGACGAGCCGATCGAGTTCACCTTCGAGCCCCAGGCCGAGGCTCGCGGGGTTTGAGGCTCGAGGCTTTCGGGCGTTCTCGTTCGGCGCGCCAGGTCTACCTGCTTCTATAGAGGTCCAGTATCTGCGGCCTGTGCCAGATGCCGCTCTCACTATCTCTAGCCGCAAGCGTCTATGGACACGTCGGGTGCCGTCACATCTATAGACGCATTCGGAGTGGATATGACGATAAACAACGCGGCCGTTCCGTTCGTCGCAGTACAAGGTCGGATAGCGGGTATATGGTATATTCGTCTACGGCACGCTACTATTATATAGCCTAGTATAGCAGTTCCAACATGGTCCTTCAAGCTTTTGTTAGTTCTCGGTGGCGTTCCAGCCTCGGGATGCCTTCCAGCGGCTGCGCCTCTCCGAGGGCGTTCTGGGGGTTCTTGGATCGTCCCGAGCGGCCGCTGGAGGCCTCAGGTATGACCCGAAAATCACCTGGGCACTGTTGTCTGCTTGCGCAGGGAGAAACTGCCCGAACAGACCTGACAACCACTTCGTAACCTGCACGGTGATCGGCCGGCTACGCAGGCGGTCAACGCTGGAGACCCGTCCCGCGAACCACCATGTGGGGATACGAGACGGTGTTCAGGAGCGTTGGCCTCATGTGTTTGAGGTTGGGGTTGTTTTTGCACACTGGCTCGGCCACCAACACCCCAGACCCCCGACGTCAAGATTTGGCCATAACGTCGACACCCAAGGTTCTCGACCCATTCCCCGGGACCAGTTTCATCCCGAGTGGTTTCCCGAGGCCCCGTAAGGGCCCCCAGATGCCGAAAGTAGCGAGAACCTCCCGTTGTTTTCTGTTCGCGACTCGAGGGTGTCTGGGACCACCGCCACTCCCAGGACGTCAGGCTATACTAGAGCACCCGCTATTTCGAATTAAGATTGTTATAATCTTGGATCTCAGTGTTGGACCCCAGCCACCATTTCGGGGATTCAGCGAGGCCCGCGGGGTCGGCCTGCAGGGCCTGCGCCTGTTGGTTTGGGACGAGGCCGGCGGGGTGGCGTTCGACAGCGGCGAGGTGGCCACGGGCGAGCCGCGCGCGCTCGCGCTGCTGGAGCCCGGAGCGTACACGTGGGGCGTGCGGTGGCGGGCCAGCTCCGGAGAGGTTCGAGGAGCCGTCGGCGGCGAGCGCAGGGGAGAAATGGAAAGGAGAAGGCCTTCTCAGACGGCGGCGGGACCTCTCGGAAGCCCTCGTGCCTTCTGAGAAGTTTTCTGTGTCCTCGGGGACCTTTCAGAAGGCCCAGGGACTTCTGAGCCCTCTGCGAAGGCCCGCCCCTACTCGCTTCCCCCTGGGCTCGCAGCCGAAACAAGAAGCTGGGGCTCACCAGACGGGGGTCAGCGCTAACGGGGGTGAGCCAACAGCGTTCCACCGACCCCTACAGACCCCCACCACCTCAGCACCCCAGGTGGGGATACCTATACGACCACCCCTCGGGTGATAAGGAGGTTGTGGGGAGGGGGGAAGGGGGGGCGGAACCAACATCTGATTCAATCGATATGATTATCGATCTCACTCAACGGGACACCACGGGACACTAGTCGATCTCACTATAGGTCTCTGCGCATACAGAGGAGGCCAGCAAGACATACTTTGCAGACGGAGGCCAGCAGACATACTGTGCATCCCCGCGCTGGCATTGTCCAGGCGTCTCCCTGATGCTTCGCGTGCGATTCGGAGAGAGCCTGTCTGTTTCGGTTTCGCTGTCATCAACGCCTTGGGGGCCGGCCACTGGCAAGACACAGCTGCAGGGGCTGGTGCAGCGGCGGAAAGGTACGGCCAGCGGAAAAGAACTGACCAGAACACGGAGCAGCAGTGCATGGCAGCCAGTTTTCGATTCTGGCCCATCGCCCACGAGACGCAGGGCGGGAATGTTCGCGGCCGCTTGCGCGGCTGTCCGGGCCATCGCGGCGGCGGTGGCTGCCCAGGAGCGCCGGGAGGCAGCTTCGGTCAGGAGGGAGTTGCTGTCCCGCGCGGCGGCGGTGAGCGCTCGCAGCACGGCCAAGGCTATCAAGACAAGGAGAGCCCTGAGGCCGGCAGCCGACGTGCCGCCAGCAGTCCAGCAGATCATGCGGGACAGGGGCGGGCAGGACGACGCGCAGACAGACCGGCTGCCCCTCCCCCCCTCCCCGCGCTTCCTCCAGCGCCTCCTCCTCCTTCCCTCCTCTCCTTCAACGCGAGTTTGATCGTGCACTTCAGGGTTTCATGCGAGACGGCCTTGCGAAGCCCGCTTCCCAGCCGACCGGCGGCCTGCAACTTTCCAGGCGCAGGCGCTGACGTCTCGGTGCTTCTTTGGGCCCGTTTTTTTTTCTCTCCTCGGCTCCTCGCTCTCTTGGCTCTGCTCCCCTTCCTCGCCCTTTGCCCTTCCCTGTCCGTCGGGCTGATCTGTCCTTTCCTGTCGTCGTCCTCCCTCTTGTTTCTTTCTCGCTCCTCGGCGCATGGCTCCTCGGCCCGGTTTTGTTCCTTCTCTGGTCCGCTTTTCTTTGTCGGCCCGCCCCGTGGTCCGAATCTGAGATGCGGGCTTGTGTGGGCTCTCAGCATTGTTTGCGTTTGTCTGTCCAAGGGGGCAGGACTTGTCCGCCCCAGCCGGCGCCTGACGCGAAGCTTCTCGCAACACCTTGGCCCCCCAGTCAGGGCTCAACAGCCAGGGGTCACTGCGAACGAGGTTCAGTCAGAGCGCCAACTATAGATCTCACGATCGATATCACCCAACGGAACACCAAGGGACATCACGGGACACCGCGGGATACGTTTCGATCTCAGTATCGGTCTCACGATCGATTTCACCATCGATCTCGCCCAACGGGCCCAACGGGACACCATAGGACACCACGGGACACCGCGGGACACCTCTCGATCTCACCATCGATCTCACAATCGATTTCACTCAACGGGACATCGCGGGACACCTGTTGATCTCACTATCGATCTCACTAGCGACTTCAATTTTGGGACACCTCGGGACACCTGATCCCACTCTCGATTTCACTATCGATCTCATTCAACGGAACACCACGGGACACCACGGGACACCGCGGGACACCGCGGGCCTCCGGCCGCCGCGGCCCAGCCACAGGAGGATTTCGGAACGCCAGCGGGACACCGCGGGCCACCAGCCGCCGGCCGCCGGAGGAGAAACATTTGGTCAGGCCGCGGCCCAGCCACAGGATGATTCCGGGACACCAGCGGATCACCTGCGGGACACCGCGGGCCACCGGCCGCCAGAGGAGAAACGTTTGGTCCGGCCGCCGCCCAGCCACAGGATGATTTTTTTTCGCCCGCCCACGCAGCTTCGCCTCACCCGCACGCGCGCAGGACACGCACGACACGAACCCGAAACCGAAATCGATTTCCCTTCAAGGGGCGTCCCCGTTTCACGTCGGACTCCCCCCCCCAATTTCCGATACCCTTTGAAACCCGCAGGAAACAGCCTATATCACCATTTAGGGTACCCCCGAACGGTGTGGTGACCACACCGTTTGGTGAGTCATTGGGAATTCGGGGTCACCGCGCGGGTTTGGGACTCGGGTCGTTCGCCGAGGATGTTTCGGCCGATTAAGGGGCCTCCGAGGTCCCAACGCCGTGCGTCGACCGCGCGGTGAGATCTCTGGGGATCTTCGAGGTCGCCGCACGGCCTGCCACCACATTGTTTTGGGCCCCCCGATCGGCGTCTCCCCAACATACTTCTACTGTATGTGCGTCGCCACTCCCAGGGGCGACGCGCGCACCAAGAAATCTTGTAGTATATGTGTCGTGGTCGGCGCTTCCTGGCCACACCAGCCGGAAAACTATGCACTACAAGATGGGTACACCATATGTCCGGATCGGACGTGCGCATCCAAAGAGAGCATATAGTACGAGTCTGTCTTTGCGCGTTCCACCCGGGAGTCTCGAGGTTGCGCCGCTGGCCACGTCGGGGCTGCGAGTGGCCGTGCGCGACGGGGACTGGCGCGGCGTGCCGTGGCTGGGTTGCCCCGGCTACGACAGGTTCGCGGCGGAGGCCGACGGCCTGCGCGGCCGCGTCTCCGTCCTCGTTGCGATCCCGAGCTTCGGTCACCAGAGGAGGAAAATCGGAACAATTGGAGCATATACCTTACCAGTGGCGGGGTGTTTTTCGATCCCTGAACTTCTCGAGGGTCGAGGACGACGCTGGGGTGGTGTGGTGTATATGAGCGCGCCCGTTGTGTTACTAGGGGGATCGGGTTTTGAGTTGATTTCATTTCCATTTTATTCCCTTCCTCTTAATTTTTCCCTTCCCGTCAACTCTTCCCGTTAATTGTCTTGTATTCGTTTTAAGTGTCTTGTCTTCCCGTTAATTGTCTTGCTTTCCCGTTAATTGTCTTGTCCTTCATTCTCGTTAGTCGTCTTGCATTATTGTTAATTGTCTTGTTTTCCTTTTATCTGTTACGTTTCGACTCCAAAGCCCCAGTGGGTGCGCTCGCATACAGGAGGAGACGGAGGAGGAGGAGGAGGAGGAGGAGGAGTTCTGGGAGATCCTGGTAGGTCCATCTCCGCATTCGCCCTCCATCTTGGGTTTCTGGGAGATCCCAGGAGGTCCCGAATTATCGGAATTACCGTCCAGACATTAGAGGGGAAATTTTCCCGGGAGGAAGTTTCCCGGGAGGTCCCGGGAGGTGGGGCCCCGTGAGGTGGGGGCTTTCCTTGCAATTCGTTGTGATTGTTTTAATCCGTATGATTATCGGGAAATTATCGGGAAGAGTTCCCGGGAGGTGGGGCCCCGGGAGGTCCCCGGGAGGTCCGTTAATTCTGCACGGTAATCCCCGAACCCTTGGACGGTAATCCCCAGCAATGAAAATCATGTGGGGCGAGGGGTGGGGGAGTTCGGGTTGCTCTCCTGCAGTTGCGCCTCGCCGAGAGCCTCCTCCCGTGCCTCCTCCCGTGGCTCCCCAGGGCTCCTGTAGGCCTTTGATGTCCATGGGTGTGGTTTTCCTGTAGCCCCACCCCCTCTACGTGTAATATAGGAATTCCGGCTAACCATGTAAGACCGAGTATGACTGACGCCCATAATCATTAGTTGGAGCAGGCGGGAGTTATAGGGAAGTTATAGGGAATCCTAGGGAAATTACAAGGAAATTATTGAATTTTGGTATTTCAGGGAAGTTATAGGGAAGCTCAAACAGGGAACTATCGGCAACTCAAAACCCGATCCCCCCTCTTATAACACATCGGGCGCGCTCAAGGTGTATATTATGTTTCCTGGATGTTCCGAGGAAAATACGAAACATGCATACACTAGGGTCCGCTCTCCAGTGCAAATTCCAATGCAGGGCTTGCAGAAGCGTCGGTGTACAGAGTTCGATTCTCTAGAAAAGGTGCCCTCTCCGCTGCCCTTCTCCCGTGTTCCACCTCCAGTTCGAGGCGCCCAGTGCCACCCACCACGCCTATCCCGACTGGGCCGCCTGCTGGATTCGCCTCGGAACTCCCGTCAGAACGCACCCCGGGAGAGGTCCGTACGTTTGGGTTTCCCCAGGCTACGTCACGGTGAACGGCAGGCCGCTCTCACAGGAGCTATGTTTCAGAAATTCGCGGTGACGATCACGCCCCGGCCACGCCCCCCCCCCCCCTCTCCCCCCCCAACCCGTTGTCACGTCACGATTCGCGCCAGCTCTCCTAGCCCTTCCCAGACGGCGTCGGCGCGAATGGTGACGTGACCAGCCCCCTCTCCCCCTCCCCCCCTCCAGCGGCTCGCTACCGCCAGGAGGTAGAATTCAATGCGGAGCCAAGAAATATACCTCCCTCCCCCTCCCACCCCCCAGGAAAGAAGTGGGAACGAGGGAAGCAGAGGAGGGAGGGGCCCGCGCAAAATTGTCTCCAGGACCTCCTCTCGCCCTCGGGCTGGACGAACACGGGGAAGCGGGTGCTGTTCCGCACGTACGATGCCACCGAGCTGCTCAACTCCACGGGCGGCGCTCGCATCGCCGTGCATCTCGGGGGCGGCTACCGCGAAGACCCCCGCCATCTGCTGCCCGACCACCGCAACGACGCAAACCGGGCCGCAAGGGCGTCCCACGATGAGGCGCCCCTGGTGCTCCGGCTGCAGCTCCGCTCCAGCGACGGCATCAGAGGGTCAACAATTTGCGTGAACACAAGAGTTTGGAGGGCCGCGCGGATTTTTTGGACCGGCGCTGGGCCTCGCGCTTCGCGCGCCAGGGAGGGGGGCCGGAGGCACCGCCGATGGAGGGCTCCTGCGTCAATCCAAGAAATTTGCACGGAGGTCCGAAAGTTTGTGGTTAAGCCGTTCGTTTTTCTCCGAGGCATCCGACTCCACTCGGGAAGCCCCGGGTGGGTGAAGAGCCGCGCGGACCCCGACGCAAACAACTCTTTGTACTCAGGCGAGTCCACTGGCACCAGAGGCCCCGTCTGGGAGCCCGTCGACGAGGCTCAGGATGTGGGCGGCGGCCCGTCAGGACGCATGGTCGCAGCGGCGTTCCCGGCCGTGCGGGCCACTCGCGTGGACAGCCCCGTTCGCATATGGAGGGAGGGCAGGGTCCAGGTGAGCGACGGAAGAAAACGGGGTCGATTGCGCTGACACTCGCTCGCAAGCGCCATCTCCTTCACAAACGGTCTGCTAACTGCCCGCGTGAGCCAGGACGTATCAGGACGCTGGATACACATGATGAGCCACGCGCAGAGGGGGGTAGGGGAATGGGGGAAGGCTTCTTTGAAGCACCCCTGCTTCTTAGAAGGCGCGGGCCTTGCCTTTAGATGTAAGGACGGCGCCTTCTGAGAAGCAGCCTCCTGCTAAGAAGCCTTCCCCACTCCCCCTACCACCCCTCTGCGCGCCGCCAGCTTGACGCGACTGGCCTGGACGAGAGCTGGGTGCGCATGTGGCCCGATGTCTCCCAGGCGCCTCGCCATTCTGTGGCTAGGCACGCCGGGCCCCCGCGTGCGTATCCGGCGCGCGGCCCCCGCATGTGCCACATGTAGGTCCAGCCACGTGTGTTTCAAGCTTCCTGGTATACAGTCAAGACGCTGAAGTGAGGAAAAGCTTGAGCACGTAAGGAACTCGATGTTCCTCAGTCATTATGCGATTGTTCCTCTAGCCCTCCTCGTGCACGTTGGCGCTTTAGACTCCAGAAAGGGGCTTCCTTCCTCATCGACCGTTCCATATTGCAGCGGCCCGACTGTAAGGTCGCGCTGTCACGTGTCTCGTCGCTCAGGTTGTGGACTTCGGGTCCAACGTGGCCGGCGTCTGTCGCGTGTCGGTGCCGGCGGGCACGCCCGGGCTGCCCGCGACGCTGCACATGAGGCACGGGGAGGTACTGCAGCACGCCGGCACGCCGAGGGCCAGGTTCAGGGGCAAGCAACGACAGTCCGATGAGGGTCAGCTGCAAGTCGGCAGCGAGCGAGGGGGCGAAATGAGGAGGAGAAGGCATCCGCAGAAGGCGGCGGGACTTCTCAGAAGCCCTCGCGCCTTCTGAGAAGGCGTCTGTGTCTTCGGGGAAGGCTTAGAGCACTTATCCGAAGGCCGGAGGACTTCCGAGCCTTCTGAGAAGGCCCGCCCCTTCTCACTTCCCCCACCCGGTTTCGCCGCCGAGCAAGGGTGTTCGCGGTTCGGCCAGTTCGGCTGCGTCGCAGTCGGTTGCGTTCGGTCGGTTGTGTTCGGTCGGCTGCCGTGCCGTTGCTGCGTCGCTGCGCCCTTTTTGGGCTGCCGGCGGCCTGTCGGTCTCGGTCGGTTGCTGTTTCGCCGTCGGTTCGGTTGGTGTCGGGTCTGGTTGCCGCCGTGGACGCCCTTGAGCTGATACTCGGGTCGGGCGAAAGGGGGGGATTGGGAAAGGGGGGGTTACGAAATTTGCTGCATGCAGCTGGTTTCGGCCTCACCGAGGGGCCCATTCCTCGATACATTGGCGCCTCCCGGCGCCGGGAGGCGCCGGGAAAATCAGCTACGCGAGCTGATCCTCAAACCCCCCCTTTGCTATCCCCCCCTTTCGCCCGACCCGAGATACGCTGGCACACCCGCGCGGGCTCGTCCGTGGACTCGTGGTTCGAGGCGGGTTCGAGGCGGGTCGGGTTCGAGGCAGGCCCAGCCTGCCTCGTGGTTCGAGGCGGGTCGGGCCGTGGCAGCGAGAGGCCTCCAGGAGGCCCGGAGAGGACGAGAGAGGCGCCATGTCGGGGCGCCGCCGTCGGTCTCGACGGGCCCTCCGAGGCACGGGGGGGGCAGGGGCCCAGGGTGGGGAGGCATGTCGGCAACACCCCAACATACTTCTACTATATGTGCGTCATCATCCTCATCCTCATCCTCATCCTCCATACCCTCATCATCCTCATCCTCTTCCTCATCCTCATCCTCCTCCTCCTCCTCCTCCTCCTCATCATCATCATCATCATCATCATCATCATCATCATCATCACCACCACCACCACCACCACCACCACCATCATCATCAACATCATCATCATCATTATCATCATCATCATCATCATCATCAACATCATCATCATCGTCATCATCATCGTCGCCCCCTACTATATGGGCGACGCGCGCACCGAGAAATCTTATAGTATATGCGTCGTGGCGGGCGCTTTCTGGCCACACCGCTCGGGAAACGATATACTACGAGATGGGTATACTATATGTTCGGGTCGGACGCGCGCCTCCAAGGAGGACATACAGTACTAGTATGTCCATGTGCGTCCCAGCATGTGCGCCGATTCTGGGCCGCTGGCCCCCGCCCTTCCTCAACCCCCTCTCACAGGTGGGAGCGCGGAGGCCCGAACCCCAGGCGGGTCTACTTCACCAACCTGCGGGACGCGCAGGCCCGCGACCGCATCCACGTCCCCGCGGAGGGCGTCGCGGGCGCGTTCCCGCGCTTCACCTACCACGGCTTCCGCTACGTCGAGGCGTACGGCTTCCCCGCGGACCTCTCGGAGGTGACCTTCGAGCGGCTGGTCGTCGGCACGGCGGTGGAGACCAAAACCGAGGCCAGCTTCATTTTTTAATATATATATATATATATATAATAATAATATATATATATATAAAAAAAAAAAAAAAAAAAAAAAAAAAAAAAAAAAAAAAACGAGGCCAGCTTCACCGACGAGGTGCTGCAGGCGATCCACCGCGGCGCCGTCGGCAGCCAGCGCTCCCACCTCACGGGCCGGGTGGTGACCGACTGCCCGCAGCGGGACGAGCGCCTGGGCTGGCTCGGCGACGCGGGGCTGTCCGCGCAGCCGATGATGCAGCACTTCTGGAAGGAGGATCGGGGCTGGACAGAACCCCCAACAGTGACACGTCGATTAGTGAATTGTCCGTTTTCGGCTTTCGAGAGGGCGCCGTGGCCGTTATTTTCCAGGCTTGCGCCCGCCAGGTTTGGGCCTCAGGTCGTTTTCACTAAACCACGTCGCCTCGGGGCCTCAGCGCCTGGGCTGGCTCGGCGACGCGGGGCTGTCCGCGCAGTCGATGATGCTCACCACCCACCAAACCACCCCAACCCAACCCGAAGGCTCAGATTTACCCTCGATTTCTGGTGGGGGGGGGGTCCGGGAAACATCGAGAAAACACGTGTGGAACCCATACCCCCCCCAACCCGAAATTCGGGTCTTCGGGTTGGGTTGGGGTGGTCTGGTAGGTAGTCAGATGCAGCACTGCTGGAAGGAGAAAGCGTGGCACGAACATCCACGTTGGGAGATCCGCGCGGACTTCCGAAAGTCTATGCTTATGCCTTTCTTCGGGGTTGGACAGGCGCCGCGCAGGCGCCGCCCCTGGCGCGCTCCGCGCGCCAGGGCGGGGAGGCCGGCGCGGATCCAAGGCAACCGCGCGGACTTCCGAACGTTTACGTATGTGCCTCTTTTTCATCTTCGGACGTCCACCTCGCCCCAGTGGCCGCCGCCTTCGTGGACTCTATCGCGGACGAGCTCGGCGAGGACGGCTCGTTGCCGGACGTGGTGCCTTTCCAGCGGCAGGGAGCGCGGCCCGCGGACCCCACGTGGAGCGCGGCGTTCGTGGAGCTGCTGCGGGTGCTCCACCAGGACCCAGACCCGGACATGCTCGTGTCCAGAAAGTTCACGCTCGTGGAGATTGTTATTTGCCTTCCTCCTCCCCAGACAAGCTCGCGTCGGGACCAAAAACAGGACGGGAGTCTGTTGGCGTTGTTCGACCTCCAGGCGCCCACCGTGCAAGGAAACCCCGGGTGGAAAACCGGCCCCGGGGAAGGGGTCGGGATCTTTGGGTGTTGGAATAGTCAGGACATCGCATGTCCGCGGACCATTCAAGGGTGAACGATCCACGCGGCGCTTGAGCCACCACGCCGGCACAGGCGTGCTTCTTGGATCGGCGCTGTTTCTCGCTCCCCTCACCCCCACGCATCCTTGGTAAGCTCAAGAATACCGTGGCAAATTGAGACGTTCCCCTGCGGCACCAGGGAATGGTTGGCGGCGTTTCTGTTTGATTGTTTCACACGGGGTCAGTTTCCTAAGCCCTCAGAAACAATTTGGCATGCGTATGTGAAATTGTTTGTTCGGTTTCCGAAAACGCGCACTTGGCAATAGATCAGTCCGTTCGTAAGCGTGCAGTAACTGTGGGTTGTCTTTTACTTTGTGCGAGTAGCGAAGGTAATGCGTTCTGGTGTATATGTCGTCGTGGTTGGCGTGGGACTAGCACGACGATGGATGTTCGGAGTAAGGGTAGTTCGTAAAAGTAGGACAATCGTAGGAGTAGGACAAGTGTTCGGAGTAGCGGTGGTACTAACATTTGCTGTCGTATACATACGATCCGCAGTAGTCGTAGTAGTAGTGATCTTCGGGGTTGTAGTTTGTAGTCGTCGTCGTCGTTGTCGTAGTGGTAGTAGAAGGCGTCCTCTTAGTGGTAGTACTAGCAGTAGTGGTGGTAGTAGTTGTGGTAGTAGTGGTAGTAGTAGTAGTAGTAGTAGTAGAAGTAGTAGCAGTAGTAGTAGTAGTAGTAGTAGTAGTAGTGGTTGTAGTAGTAGTAGTACTAGTAATAGTAGTAGTAGTAGTAGTAGTAGTAGTAGTAGTAGTAGTAGTAGTAGTAGTAGTAGTAGTAGTAGTAGTAGTAGTAGTAGTAGTAGTAGTAGTAGTAGTAGTAGTAGTAGTAGTAGTAGTAGTAGTAGTAGTAGTAGTAGTAGTAGTAGTAGTAGTAGTAGTAGTAGTAGTAGTAGTAGTAGTAGTAGTAGTAGTAGTAGTAGTAGTAGTAGTAGTAGTAGTAGTAGTAGTAGTAGTAGTAGTAGTAGTAGTAGTAGTAGTAGTAGTAGTAGTAGTAGTAGTAGTAGTAGTAGTAGTAGTAGTAGTAGTAGTAGTAGTAGTAGTAGTAGTAGTAGTAGTAGTAGTAGTAGTAGTCAGTAGTAGTAGTAGTAGTAGTAGTAGTAGTAGTAGTAGTAGTAGTAGTAGTAGTAGTAGTAGTAGTAGTAGTAGTAGTAGTAGTAGTAGTAATAGTATTAGTAGTAGTAGTAGTAGTAGTAGTAGTAGTAGTAGTAGTAGTAGTAGTAGTAGTCGTAGTATAGTAGTAGTCGTAGTAGTAGTAGTAGGGGTAGCAATAGTAGTCGTAGTAGTATCAGTAGTAGTAATAGTAATAGTAGTAGAAGTAGTAGTAGTAGTCGTAGTGGTAGTAGTAGTAGTAGTAGTAGTAGTAGTAGTAGTAGTAGTAGTAGTAGTAGTAGTAACAGTAGTAACAGTAGTAGTGGTAGTAGTAGTAGAATCCCACCAGCCCTTTGGGCGTGAGTGGTTTAGAGAGCTCTCTCTGTTCTCAACCCCCCTTCTTCCCCTTCGGGGAAGGGTTTACCCCTCACCCTCCCCCCTTCCCCTGGGCCTGGAGAGGGTCTCGCGGGTCGTCAGGGGGGTCAATTTCGACTCCTGGGAGGGCTAAAAAACGACACCCCTCACGAGGATTCTGGCCCCGACGGGGGAGGGAGAACAAATGCTCACCTCTTCTTTGAAGGCAGAATCATTGATTTTACTACGGTTTTGGCCCCATTTTGGCCTTCTGAGGGGACAGCGCTACTTAAAGCTCATCTCTTCTTTCAAGCGAAAACCATTGATTTTACAAAGGTTTTGGCACCATTTTGGCCTTCTGAGGGGGCAGCGCTCATTAAAGCTCCCCTCTTCTTTGATCGATCTCCTCCAAGATGGCACCAAGAAGCGCCCAGGAGGCACCAATAGGCCCCAAGATGGCCCCAAGAGGCCCCCAGGAGGCCCCCAAGAGGCCTCCAAAAGCCCCCCAAGATGCCCCCAAAAGGCCACCAAGAGGCCCCAAGAGGCTCTCACCCGAGGCACCCAAGACGCTCCTGGAAGCCACTGGGGCCGCCAAGAAGCCCCCAAGAGGCCCCCAACGGCTCCCAAGAGGCTCCCAAAACGCCCGAAAAGGCTCCCCCAAGGCACCCAAGACGCTCCTAGAAGCCCCTGGGGCCGCCAAGCGGCTCCCAAGACGGGACGAGGTGCCCGAACGCCTCACGCCACGAGGAGCCCGAACGACTCACACCAGGACGAGGGCCCGAACGACCCACACCACGAAGAGCCCGAACGACTCACACCAGGACGAGGGCTCCTAACGAACCTCACCCAAGGACCAGGCTCCCGACCTACTCACACCACTAGGAGCCCGAAACGACTCCCGCTCACACCACGACTATGGCCCCGAACGATTTCACACCACGAGTATCCCGCCACGACTCACACCAATATGGGGTGCCCATCGAGCGAACTCAACAACCAGGACGAGGTTCCCTACACAACACTCACACCAAACGAGAATCCGAACGACTCAAACACCAGGACGAAAGTCCGACAACTCACCCACGAAGAGCCCGAACGACTTCACACCAGGAAGAAGGTCACACCAGGAAGAAAGGGCCCGAACACGCTCACCACCATAGAAAGGAGAAACCCAAAACGACTCAAACCACGAAGAGCGCTTTCTCTCCCTCCTCCTCCGCCTCGTCCTTCTCCCGCTCCCCCCACAATGAGGATGTACAAGGAGGCGGGAGGAAGGAGTAACAAGGGAGATATGCGGGGCCAAGCGGACACACGCCTGAACAACACGACTGTCGGCATGCTTCGCAAGAGTTGCTGTTGTGAGATGGGCTGGTGGGGATACGCGAAGCGTAAAGAATTATTATTATTATTAGTAGTAGTAGTAGTAGTAGTAGTAGTAGTAGTAGTAGTAGTAGTAGTAGTAGTAGTAGTAGTAGTAGTAGTAGTAGTAGTAGTAGTAGTGTAAGTAGTCGTAGTAATGGTCGTAGTAGTAGTCGTAGTAGTAGTCCCTCCACCCGTGTTGAGCGTGAGTGGTTTATGGAGCCCGCTCTTTCTCACCCCCTTCTTCCGTTCCCTTCGGGAGGGGTTTAACCCTCCTCCCACGCCACCCCCTACCCCCTCCCCCTGGACCTGGAGAGGTCCTTTCGCGGGTGGTTGGAGGGGTCTTTTTCGACTCCTGGGAGGGCTAAACAACGACACCCCTCACGAGGATTCTGGCCCCGACGGGGGGGGGAGAAAAAACCAGCCCCTCTTCTTTGAAGCCAAACTCATTGATTTTACTACGGTTTTGGCACCATTTTGGCCTTCTGAGGGGGCAGCGCTAATCCCACCAGCCCTTTGGGCGTGAGTGGTTTAGGGAGCTCTCTCTGTCCTCAACCCCCCTTCTTCCCCTTCGGGGAGGGGTTTACCCCTCCCCCTACCCCATCCCCCTGGGCCTGGAGAGGGGGTTTCGCGGGTCGTTGGAGGGGTCTTTTTCGTCTCCTGGGAGGGCTAAACAACGACACCCCTCACGAGGATTCTGGCCCCGACGGGGGGACGGAGAAAAACCCTCTCCTCTGTTTTGAAGCCAAACTCATTGATTTTACTACGGTTTTGGCCCCATTTTGGCCTTCTGAGGGGGCAGCGCTCCTTAAAGCTCATAGCAAAATCATTGATTTTACAAAAGGTTTTGGCACCATTTTGTCCTTCTCA